CGTTTGTCATGCCTTGATAATCATCCAAGCTTCGATTTACTTCTTGCATGTTGTTATCAACCCAGATCTGCTCAATAAGGCCATTTAAAGCTTCTCGCATCTTCCTAGCTCTAGCTCGCATGACTGGACCTCCTTGGGTGTGTAATGGATCACATGACATAGTAGATATGCTGTCATCTTGATCCCCATCATTCTGGTTTTGTCACGTAAATTCTTAGCCTTGATCTTGTCTTTGATGTGGTAGTTTAGGGCATACAAAACATTTAGGTGAGAGTCACGGGTTTGAACTTCCAAACTTTGCTATTATATGCATGTTAATTAAGATGTTATGTTAATTTTTTTGTAAAAATCTGGTTACAAGTTGTCTATAGGGTTGCTCAATTTTGGTCTACTTTCCTCTGTTGTCTTGCTTTATTTCTGCACTTTCTCTTGTTGTTTTCTAGCCTTCCTAGTTTCACAATTTCTATTACAAATTTACGCCTTTGTAGTTGTTTGTTTGCATCTATTTTTTATGGCTAATTTTCTATTTTGCTATTGACTGCCTTTTGCTTTGTTTTGGTTGTGAAAATTTCTACACTAGTAGTTCCATTAATGAACTTGTTTCGAGTGTTGTTTTTAGCACCAAAATACTACCCTGTCTCAGTTGCTCGTTACTGAAATACCATTTGTTTTAGCTTAGTTTTTTTGGCTCATTTTTCTACTCTCCTTTGCCCAGAAATCCTATTGAGAAGCCTTTATTTTTTGCTCTAAAATTTCTTGGTAAAAGGCTTAAAATCCGACAGCATGACCATGCTGTAGTGTTTTACCCATAACTCTTTCTGTAGATATCGGATTGAGTTCATTCTTCATTTTATAGAAAGTTAAGAGATAGCCCTACAATTTTTATGTTGGATGTTTAATCCAGTTAATCTGTTTCATGGTGAAAACTCTGCTGCAAATTCGATTCCCACAAGTGGATAGAACTAGCAGCCTTAACCCTAAGTTAGTATTTTGGCCATAACTTTCTCTGTAGATATTGGATTAAGATGATTCTTGATCTTATAGAATGCTAAGACATAGGGCTACAATTTATCTGTTGACCACTTAACCTAGATTGGTCAATTTCTAGGTGCAAATTCTGTTGAAACTTTCAGTTCAAAATCTGACCAAAACTTTCCCAAGAATTTGTTTTGTTTTCTATTCAATTCCCACATTATTTGCTGCCATATTGTATCATAGTTTTAGTAAACCTTTTGTTACTGCTTCCTGTTTTAAAACCCCTTATTACTGCTTTGTTTCGGCTGCCTTTTTGCTACTACATTTTTGCTTAAATGTTACCAAGTTTTAAGCTTGCATTCCACCCTATTTTGCTACTGTCTTTTTGCCTAGAAATCCCTACTGTTTAGGATGTTTTTTATAAACATTTTGGGACTCTTTCAATAGTGAAAAACCTCACTTTGCTGCCCAATATTTCTACTAGTGTCTAAGATGGTTTTGAGCTCGATTTCTCACATTTTTCCATCTTATTTTGCCCAGAAAATCTATTTGGAATACCTACTATTTAGTGTGACATTTAGAGCTAATTTAAGCCTATTCTAAGTATTCATTTGATGTGGTATAGGTTTTAAATCACCTCGAGAACCTTGAGACCTTGAAATTCTTCTTGTTTACCTACAAGGCAAGGTAAGTAAAATTATGGTAAATGCCCTTGGAATTTTAGGTAAAGGTTTAAAAGCATATTTTAAACTGTTTTTGAGATGGTGGCGGGACTTAACCCGATTTTATTAGCACTTGAACATGACTGATTTGAAATGAAAGTTGTTATTATTTTTATTGAGTTGAGCATGCCTACATGGAGTTTTCTTGTTTGTTCAAGAAATTTGAAATTGGTTTGTGAATTTGGAATTTTATTGTTAACTTTTGCATGGTTTTATCTCCAATATCGTCATGAATTTTGTTATCCTGGAAGTAGGAGTTAAACATTGGCACATGTCGACATGTATTTTCATAGGACCGATTCATCCTGCCAATGGGTGAGTACATTGGTATTTCTACTATGCAGCTAATGGGAGAGTACATTGGTATTTCTTTTATCTAGCCAACTGGGAGAGCACACTGGCCATGATTAATTGAGGGGACCATTAAATAAATTTCAGCATTCATAAATGATTTACAACTAAGATTTTCTTCTTGTTTGAAATTAAAATGTTTACTTGGCATGTCTTAAATTTCAGTGAGGACTATCCATATTTTTACTTGTTGAGTTATCTCACATAGTTTTCCTTGTCCACCATTTCAAGTAGCGAGACTATAGGCGAGGGAAATTAAGGGGAGTGACAAGCTTGAAGGCTAGCCATTTGTATTTTGGATTTTGATTATTGTGGAGTTAGACCACTAGTCACATATATTTTTGGACATAAATGATGGAAGATATATCATTATTTTGTAAGTTAGAATTTTTTTTTTTTGAGATATTGGTCTAAGTTTATGTGGATTGTTAGTTATGAATTTAGCAAGTTCTGAGTCTTGTGCATTTGTGGGATCCTTTCACGAGAGTATGGCGTCTATTTCGCTCCCAATTTTGCCACGTGACCAGCATGATGGGTAAGCTTAACCTCTTCTTGGGACTTCAAATCAAATAATCCAAAGAGGGCATCTTCATCAACCAAAGCAAATACACAAAGGAAATGCTTAAGAAGTTTGGCTTGGAGCATGGTACACCAATAGCTACTCCTATGACCACATCAATTAATCTTGACAAGAATGAAGGAGGTAAGCCTATTGATTCCAAACTTTGTAAAAGTATGATTGGTTCTTTACTTTATTTAACCGTAAGTAGACCAGATATAATGTTTAATGTTTGTTTGTGTGTTAGATTTCAAGCCTGTCCTAAGGAGTCACACTTAGTTGTGGTTAAAAGAGTCTTTAGGTACCTAAAGGATACTCCCAACCTTAGTTTATAGTATCCCAGAGGTTTTTCCTTGGACTTACATTCATATTCGGATGCAGACTTTGTAGGTTGTAAGATTGATAGAAAAAGTACAAGTGGAACTTGTCAATTTTTTGGTAATATGCTCATATCATGGTCTTCCAAAAAGCAAAATAGTGGTGCTCTATCTACAACCAAGGCTAAATACATAGCCATTGCAAGTTGTTACGCTCAAGTGTTGTGGATGAAACAAAAACTTTTGAATTTTGGCATTACCATGGATCATACTCCCATTAAATGTGATAATAATAGTACTATCAATCTCACTAAAAATTCCATCCAATACTCTCGCACAAAGCACATAGAAATTAGGCACCATTTCATTAGGGATCATGTTGCTAATGGTGATGTTGATTTATTGTTTGTTGATACGAGAAATCAATTAGTTGATATATTTACAAAGCCTCTTGATTGTGATAGGTTTGTCTTTATTAGAAATTAACTCGATATGTAAGATCCTAATGCTTGATATGGTTTTTGAATTTGATGTGCTTATTAAAATTTATGCAAATTAATGAGCTTGATTTCCATATTTTGATTGATTGTTGGTGCACACATTGATATATGGATAAGATTGCATGATTCAATAGTTGATGTCCAACTTAAAACTTGGTTAAATGAGAAAATATAAAATTAGTTACATTTTCTTCGAAACAGCCCCAAAACTTTCGTTTTTATCAATTAAAGCCAACACAACCAATTGCAACTTTTGACAACCAACTCTATCAAAAAAAAAAAAAAGAATGTTCGAGTTCCCCCAAGTTAAGCCGACTCTCAGGCCAAAGCCAACTCTCCGTGACCCATCACTTGGGCTATCAATGCCAAACTCGAACCTGCAGTAGAGCCGACTCTACTACTAAAGGCAGCTTTACTGGACAGATTTTTATTCTCTCACTTCACATTGCAAAAGAACACTAGGTCAGTTTCTCCTCCAAAAATCACACCCATTCCTCTCCTAAACACCCAAATCTCACCAAATCTGCGACACCCACCACCCACACACTCATACTCAAAAATTCATGTATACCCAACACCAATCTTCAAGTTTTTACTATAATATTGGGTGGAATCTATTGTTCTCTCTCATGGCTTCAAGAAAGGAAACAAGTTGGCAGTTCAAGTGCTAGGGGATAGGCTCAAGAGAAAGGTAACACTTTTGACTCATGTTTATTTTGGGATGGTGAGGCGTTTGATAGATATAACTTCTTCAAGAATTTGGTTGTAATAGAGCATTAGTTAGAGCCATAATTGCCCCAAATTGCACTATAGGTCAAATTAATGGGGGCCTTCTTACATCAAAAAATAAAGCATTATAGTGGATTATTAGCTGCATTATTGCTCAAAGGAAGGGCTCTAAATCTATTGCACTTGTTAGTGATCTCTCGTGGTTTGATTCTTTTCTCAAGAGGAAAAACCTGAATCTCGGAAAATTTATTTACCCGAACAGAATAAAGAATTTCTCAACTGATATGGGACTTCCTCGTGGTGCTCTGATTACTAGATTGGTGAAAAGGAACAATATTGATCTTGCAACTTATAGGCTTCAAAAGATAAAAGCTGGAACTACACTGAACAAGGCTTCTTTCGAAAATATGCATTATGAGCTCAAGAGTAGCATTTGGACGAAGAAAGGAGATCAACCGATGGAACAACGAGGGGATGAAGATGAAGGAGATGTAGACCAGAGCATGGAAGGGCAAGAGGAAAAAGGACATAGAAGTCAAAGCTAGAGGCCTTTTCAAGTCACAATGCAAAGAACTCACCTGGAAACCTTAGAGCTTAAGGTTGATGAGATGAGGCAGCTGCACACTGATTTTTATGATTTTCGAAATGAAATGAGAGGATGTATAGACTCCATGGATGGAAAACTTGATTAGACTGTTAACCATTTCTTTCCTCCTCCCCCATGTAGTGCCACCTAACTTGATGTTTCTCTCTTTTGGCTAATCTTTAAGCTAGACACCTTAGGCATCTGCATTTTAATTTTTAGGTTGGACCTTATTCTACTATTTTTTGTTTGCTTGTTAATTTATTTGCTACCATGTTCTTCATCATCTATGCTTGTTTCTTTAACTTATTATCATGAGTTGTGGATTTTAACAGTATATGACTTTGTGGTTGCCTATGATTTTGATGATTATGTTCTTAAATGCTTTCATTGAGAGGGAGCAATCTTAGGATATTGTGCTTAAATTACATATTTTTGATAATTTAGAGGTTGATATGCATGAGTTAAAAGGGATCTTGTTTGCTTATGTTTCTATACTTTTTGATGGATGACAAAAAGGGGGAGAAAACATGTTGATTTTTTATGGTTTAATATCATTTTTTGGATTGCTTTGGCGTTGAAATTTCTTGTTAATATTGGACTGCATATATGTCCTTTCATCAATTTATTCTCAAAGTGTTTTGTCATTATCAAAAAAGAGGATATTATTGTACCTATAATTTTGATGATTACAAAATATATTTAAATGACTAATTTGTTCATATAAGTATGTAGCCAATCACCTAAAAGATTGCAAAAGTAAGTGAACTTGGACTGCACTAAAAATGGACCAAAAATGATGAATTGGGTGTGGAGAGCCGGCTCTACACTTTTGCAACTAGCTCTGGTGAACAAAAGTGCAAAGAACCAACTTTCAACCTGCAGCTGGCTTTACGGGTGAAAGTTTTAAACCTACAATTTGGCACGCGGGAAAATGGACATAAAGCCGGCTACAACTTTGCAGCTGGCTGTGATGGTACATTTAATACTCAACAGTCAAGTTCTTTGAAGAATTTTTTAATTTTTTGAAGTTAGATTTCCTAAGCCAGCTTTACGTTATGTAGTCAGTTCTTCGGAAAAGCAAAATGTGCAAGAGCAGGAGGAAAGTTGGCCCTCAACATGAAAACCAGCTCTAGAAAGTAAGTTCTAGAGGTATAGCTAGCTTTACTAACAAATTCGCAACAACTTTTCTCACACTTAAACTGATCTACAAAACATTTATTAAACCCCAATGGCTAAAAATGGCTATTTTCGACCAAGGGGTATAAATATGGTTGGTAGAAGATCTGAAACAAGTTTTTAGGCATTGTATTGAATATATTTACCTACTAACTTGTGCTTTAACTTGAGATGTTAATCTTTGAGTGATCTTTTGCTTGTAATCTTCTTCTTGTTCTATTTGTGAGTTATCTTGGGGGTGTGATTATTCCATCAAGAGTGATTTGTAGTGAGGATTCTTAGGTTTATCTTGTAAAGGGGTGAGATTTGAGAGAAAAACTCATCTTCTTGTAAAAGGATTGAGTGGGCTCCTTTAAGCCTCCCTTATCCTTCTTAGTGGAGAGTGTGGAGGAAATCATTGGTGAATGAAGCCAAGGTAGAGGACTAGGGTCCAAGTAGTTGAACCGAACCTCTATAAAATAATTGTGTAAGCTTTTCTTCCTTACTTTCTTTAATTTTTTGCTTTGTGGTTGCAAAGAGGAGGAAATTTTTTAACTCCAATTCATCCCCCCTCTTGGAGTTCATTGAGCCAACAAAATTTTCGTCAATCTTAAAATTAATGCAAAAATAATTATAGAATATGATGAGAACCCCAAAGAGAACAATGAGACCCACAGCACGACAAGGGATTTGTAAACTCCAGGAAAGCTAAATCAGGAATGAAGTCAATTTGATGCTCGATTCCTCTTACTGGTGGTAAACCATTAGGAACATCATCTGGAAACACATCCTTGAAGTCCTGCATCTTCTTAGCCCTAGCTCTCTTGACTGGACCTCCTGGAATATATGTAATGGCTCTCTTGACGTGGTACATGTGGGGTCATCTTGATTCCCATCAGAATATTCACAAAATTTTTTAAAAAAATCTCATGCAATGTATGACTTTAAAGTCTAATAATGAAAAAATTTGACAAAAGTAACCCAAAAGAATCATACGAGCTAATTAATAACATACAACTTCAAATCTAAGGAGGACCCCCAAATTGAAAGTGATTATACATTCATAATAGAATTTGAATTTAATCTTTTACCCAATTTTTTTAAGCCTGCTTTCTAATCAACTAAAAAAGATATAAAGCCCAATCATATGAACTCCCCATTCACAATTGTTTTGTATACATAGCAACTCTTTTGATCAAGATCCATGGCCCCTCAAAATTTTAAACTTAAGTTGTTTATAGTGGTTGGTGAGCATTATAATAAAATTTTATGCCACTAAAATTTCTCCACCAAAAACCAAAAATTCTTTGGGTTTTTAATCGCTAGCACTTTTAGATATTCAGTTTTCTTTAAATCTCCAAGCATACATGTGGATCATTGTTAAAGGAATTCTACACTTAAATTCTTAGGTGGCTTTATTGGAGAACGACAATCAAATCTAGGCACCGATGAGGTACATGTTGTTAAAGTACTAACCATGAAACTTTTCTTATAACTATCAATGGGTTTGTAAGGATAAGAAGTCTTGTCACCTAACAAAGCATCATACAAGATAGTCTTTATATCATTGATGTATATATGGCTGTTTATGTCTGATCTAAATTGATTAATCCGATCAAAACTGATCTGATTCAATTAAAATTCAATCCAAACCAATGCCAATTTGAATTGGTTTGGATTATAAGATTTTAAAACCAAGACAAATAGTTTGGTTTGTGGTTTTACTTTCAAACTGACCAAATTACTTAATTACAAAATAACTTAATTAAATAATCTAAATTACAAAAATTTAACAAAAAAAAAAATCTTATGCAATGCATGGGCTTTTAAAATCTAGTAATGAAAAAATTTAACAAAAGTAATCCAAAAGAATAATACAACCTAATTAATATCATACACCTTTCAAAACTCGAGAGGACTCCCAAATTGAAAATGATTGTACATTCATAATAAAATTTAAATTTAATCTTACCCCTTAGGGAGTGGTTTAATGGTTGAAAGCTTAAGATTCCAAGTTTGAGATCTTAAACTTGAACTCTCAAATTTGAACCTTGAGTCAGGTGAGAAAGGATTAGAGAAAGGGGAGGGCTATCCCCTCTTATCTAGCCCATCATTATCAAATGTACCAACAACATTAAATTTAATCTTCTGCCCATCTTTGTTTTTTTTTTTTTTATTATTAACATGCTTTCTAGTCAACAAAAAAAGATATAAAGCCAGTCATATGAACTCCTAAAATTGACTCTGAACAGTGTTAATTTGGCTAGGTTTTGTGTCGTGTCTGCACTTTTTCAAAGGGAGGGTGATGAGAACCCCAAAGAGAACAATGAGACCCACAGCACAACAAGGGATTTCTAAACTCCAAGAAAGCTAAATCAGGTTTATAATAGGACCTTGACCCATTGTTTATGTCGCAACAAGAACCAAAGGTAAAAACCTTGACCCGTTGTCTATGACGCAACAAGAACCAAAGGTAAAAACCTTGACCCGTTGTCTATGACGCAACAAGAACCAGAGGTATAAAATTGGTTGACGCCACACCCTCGAGCAATTAAGAACGAGAATGATAAGTCAGGTTAGAACGCCACAAGAATAATCTTGATAAGTTCTATAAAGTTCTGAAATGAACCAAAGAGAAAAGTCTCTCAAAATCTGAGATTTAATGATCTCCTCAATTAGGGTTACAAGCCTCTTTAAATAGGGAAAAGTAATTCTAATCAGAATAGGAAACTAACACCCTAAGCCCTAATCATAATAACCACGAATTGGGCCTTAAACAAATGAATGTTCAGCCCAAAATAATATAAAAAATGTGAAAATCACTAAAAGTAGCCTAAAGTAACATGAAATATCAGTTTGTTACAAATTGCGACAGAATTGCGAGATTGACGTAAATTGTGTAATTTAGCACAAATGACCTCAATTAAGCTTCTCTTGAACCTGAATGATGTTTATCATGCCTTGATAATCATCCAAGTTTCGATTTGCTTGTTGTATGTTGTTTTCAACCCAGATCTGCTCAATAAGGCCACTTAAAGCTTCACGCATCTTCTTAGCTCTAGCTCGCGTGACTGGACCTCCTTGGGTGTGTAATGGATCACATGACATGGTAGATATGCTGTCGTCTTGATGAGAACCCCAAAGAGAACAATGAGACCCACAGCAC